TCATCTCGGAAATATAGACAGATCTCGAAGAAGGCTGGAGCGTACAACGGCCGAAACGTCGTTAATATGGCAATAAAGATGAGGAAAACAGTTCGATCAAAGTAAATAATGTAAATAATTACAATAACTTACTTAAATACAGACAGATATTGAATGATTTCGATTATTTTTCCGAAAATATACATGGCTGCTTGATCAGTGTTTCCTTATGAGAAAAACGACCAATATTACCATTACATTTATTTGCGCGTGTGTATGTAAATATTTCATGGCGTAGTAAAGATGCATATTTCAGAGTGTTTATGTGTGAGTCCTTGTGTGTATGTTGTCATTTTTTTTCTCTGTCCGAGTCTGCATTCGTCATATGGTATCATCTCAATGTTCAGCTTTTATCTTCTGCCATTGTGGTACATTTTGAAGCTTGCTTAGCACAAGGCTACACGTATGGAGCACTTATTGAGTATCGAACTCTCTACTCAATGTTTACGTTCCACCCGAACTCCCTAACTGCCAATGATCCACTCCCCGAAGCGATCATCTTCTGCCACTGTTGATAGCAAAAACGAACCATGTTTGTGGCTCGAAAGATTCAAAAAAGATTTTGAGCGACAAATGTAATAGTCCACTCCCAACATGTCTTCCATGTTCCGTTTATCTGTAACGCTTTGCTTTATCAATTCCGAACCTTTCATATGAGAAGATAAACAAACTGCTCAAACACGGAAAACTGAGGAGTGTCTCATCAAAATTAAACTCCTTCTCACTGCATCAATGTAGTATACAGCATGAGTCAAAAGTACCCCACTGATTCTAACACTTGCAACTGTTAATATTTGTCTTGCTAAAATTAATAATTTTCATTGTTAGCGCTTAAACGACGGGAATAGTTTACACGTACATGGACACCGACGGACACCTCGGTGTGGTGTAATGGTTACAAAGCTTGTCTTGCTAGATCAGTTACTACTGAAAAGTGAATTCGGTCCCAACTGAGTACCCCATACTTTCAGCTTTGCGTCGCATTTAAGGTACGCTTGGAAGATCGCTACATGCACGCCAAAAATTTAGAAAAAAATTATTTTCAAACGATAGTTTTATATTTATTTTCGCTTTAAGTATATACAGGAAATGTAAAAATGATAATTTAACCCTCTAAAATTGAGTTGAAATTATTACACTTCTGATGGTAATAATAATAACTAATTATTCTTAATTAAATATTAAGTATTCAATTAATTAATTTTTATTGTTGGCGCCTTAAACAAAAACAGGAAAAATTTTCACGCGAAATAATAAGAAAAAAACGAGAAAATTTAATTGGTCTTGTGTCACATTTTGAACTAAAAATGTTCAAATTGACCTTGTGTCACATTTTCAACTAAAAATGTTCAAATTGACCATGTGTCACATTTTGAACTAAAAATGTTCAAATTGGCCTTGTGTCACATTCTGAACTAAAAAATGTTCAAATTGAGATTGTGTCACATTTTGAACTAAAAATGTTCAAATTGACCTCGTCTCACATTTTGAACTACAATGTTCAAATTTATCATGTGTCACATTTTGAACATGTGTCACATTTTGAACATGTGTCACATTTTGAACTCATTATTATTAATGAAATATTAACTATTCAATTAAATTTTTTATTGTTATCACTTTAAACAAAAACGAGAAATTTTCACGCGAAAAATAAGAATAAAACGAGAAAATTTACTTTCAAATAATAGCTTTATATTTTTTTTTCACTTTAAGTACAAATAGAAACTGTAAACATGATAGTTTAACTCTTTTTAATTGAGATGAAATTATTACACTTCTGATGATGATAATAATAATAATAACTAATTAGTATTAATTATTAATGATAATTATTTAATTATAATAATAATAATATTAATATCTAGACAAATCCCAGTCTTACGAAACTTTTCTCTCAAAAATAACTTTAAAGTAATTCACAAGTTAATGTTATTTTATTTATGATAACTGTTTTTTTTTATTTTATTTTATTTTATTTTATTGGCGATTTTCTTACTCAGTTTCCATCGTTCGATACCTTGTGTCTGAAAAATGCTAATTTTATTGCAGTCGCTTTCGCTTTTCGGACTTTTGACTCGGAACATTTTGAATAATATTAAGCCTAAGCCCCAGTGGAAGTGGGTGGGGTCCCCTAGACACTACCTCTCCTTCGGGAGAAGCGCAGGTGTCACCAAAAGGGGAAGTGCCGAGGGAGCTTGAACCATTTTCCCACGGTATTGTTGTTAAAACAAATTGACCATGTGTCAAATTTTGAACTAAAAATGTTCAAATTGACCTTGTGTCACATTTTGAACTAAAAATGTTCAAATTGACCTTGTGTCACATTTTGAATTAAAAATGTTCAAATTGACCTCGTGTCACATTTTGAACTAAAAATGTTCAAATTGACCTCGTGTCATTATTTTGAACTAAAAATGTTCAAATTGAGATTGTGTCACATTTTGAACTAAAAATGTTCAAATTGACGATGTATCACATTCTAAACTAAAAATTTTCAAATTGAGATTGTGTCACATTTTCAACTAAAAATGTTCTAATTGGCCTTGTGTCACATTTTCAACTAAAAATGTTCAAATTGGCTATTTGTCACATTTTAAACTAAAAATGTTCAAATTGGCTATGTGTCACATTTTGAACTAAAAATGTTCAAAATTGACCACGTGTCACATTTTGAATTAAAAATGTTCAAATTGACCTTGTGTCACATTTTCAACTAAAAATGTTCAAAATTGAATTCGCGTCACATTTTGAACTAAAAATGTTCAAATTGACCTTGTGTCACATTTTCAACTAAAAATGTTCAAATTGAACTTGTGTCTCATTTTCACTTAAAAATCTTGCACGTCACAATTTACGGTATATTTCATTGGGTATTTGTGTTTGCATCTTGAGCGTAAATTAAGCACATTTGTTATATTAATTTCTTTGAATAGTATGAAAAATATGTCGTTCTCTTGGCCTTATGAGTTCAACTAAAGTCTTATTGCCAATGCACAGACTTCCTTTGAAGACCTCAAAACCCTCTCCAGTACCTTCTTTTTAGTCAGCAGTATTAAATATTAAAAACTGGGGAAAGAGGTGACGAAGCTTGATATCTCCCCGAAACACCACAGTTGCCGACAACCATAGGCGCAACCATATGCAAGTCTCTGCATATACATTTGTCCATCTTTCGATTGACCTTTTAGTCCTGATCGAAGTTATTCTCATTAGAGAAAAAAAAAGAAAGCATTCCAGGCTCTTGATATTTCAACCTGCTCAACAAGCGCTTTGCGAGGATCATCTTTTGTCTGCAGACGGGAACTGTCTTCTACGCATTACATATGCCTTGTATCGAATGTCCGCAAGGTCAATTCTTCCGATAGAGTGCCTTGTAACAGAAGCTCTTTAAGAATGGCGTTAATTGAATTTCTGGGAATCATATCGATCATTTCCTGTGCCTTTCAGGCAAATTTGAGTTTCCTGGTGGTATTAAGACTCATAGCACGCGTTTTACATTTAAGACACGGTGGGACAGCCAAAGGTGCATTTTTAAAGCTAAGCAGAGTATTATGAGACAGAAAAATTTCGTTAGAAACTAAGTAAAAAAGTACGGAATTTTGGCCAGCGCAATACTTCTTCGGATGTCAGTGTCGCACTTTCCGTTCTCTATTAGAATACTTCCCAGATATTCACATTGCATATCACGTAACAGTCCAGTGCTATTTTCTTTGTTTCTAACGAAATTTTCCTGTCTCTTTATACTTGCTTAGCTTTTGAAATGCATCTTTGCCAATCCCAATACATCCCCGGTCTCAATGTCGCACTTTCAGTTCTCTGTTAGAATACCTCACAAATGTTTACATTGCATATCACGTAACAGTCCAATGCTATTTCCTTTGTTTCTAACGAAATTTTCCTGTCTCTTAATACTCTGCTTAGCTTTTGGAAAGCAGCTTTGGCCATCATAATGCGTCTTGGGATATCAGTGTCGTTATTTCCGTCCTCTGTTAGAACATTTCACAGATATTTACATTGCATATCACGTAACAGTCCAGTGCTGTTTTCTTTGTTTGTAACGAAATTTTCCTGTCTCTTAATACTCTGCTTCGCATTTAGAATGCATCTTTGGCCAGCCCAATACGTCTTAAGGTGTCAGCGTCCAACTTTCAGAATCGGGCCATAATAAAATTCGAGCTATTATGTAAGCATATAAAGTAAATGCTATTATTCTAAATTTAATATTTTTTGTCTATATCACTTAGACATTAGAGATTAGGTATTATGATTACTTGTATTATTTACATTATTCGCTCTGTTATCTTCATTGGTATATTCACAACGTTTCGATCGTTGTACGCTCCGAACTTCTTCAGGAGCTTGAAATAAAGCGTTCGGTTCTAAATTATAATCACCTGAAGAAGTCCGGAGCGTAAAACGGCCAAAAAGTTATGAATATGACAATAAAGATGTTAATATTTTTTAACAGTATGAAACTCCTTGAAGCATTTCATGCCTCATTGAAGTCGTGTTTTCTTTGCACGGATTTCTCACACCAATTTCTTCTCCCTCTTTTTTCTTCGAGAAGTCTGTAAGCGGACGTAGTACTGATTTTAGCTTATTCTTGCCACTTTATTTGCAGGCAACTACTCAAGGAAATGACGCAACCTCAAGCACCCTTGTAAATAATCATCTGGATCCTTGAGTTGCCAATTAGTCATTTAAACTTGAATCATGAATGAAGCCAATCAATTGACGATATCCGCAGATCTCTAATGAAGTATCAATCGATAGTGTCCGCCTTTTAAGGTTTAAGCATTTCGCTTAATGAAAACATTTTTTCCCAATAAGACGATTGATTGAGTGGCCAGCAGTCACACCACCACTCACACCTCCCGATTCCTTTCGATAGGAGCCCGTGAAAGACTTTGTTTGTCGTGAATGGGATTCTATCGTTCAGAAATCGAAAGCTCAAGTCAATGCAATGTTCGAAGTTATTAGAAGAGATATCCAAATCTGTGAGCGTGGGTATTACTTTGTTCTTGTTCAGCTGCCATTTTGCATTGATCACGAGGAAGGGGAACTATGAACAGCGCAAGTAAGATAACGGGGTACATTTCCTTAATAATTTCCCTCTGAATAAATTATTACATAACAAGAGTTTTATAGCAAACAATAGCAAATCATATATATATATATATATATATATATATATATATATATATATATATATATATATATATATATATTTTGACGTGCAAAAATAATGACGTAATAATGTCGTTTTTGACGTTAAAAATACGTTACAAAACGACATTATTACGTATATATATATATATATATATATATATATATATATATATATATATATATATGCATGTTTCATTAAAAACGACTGACAAGGTACTACGGTTAAGCTTTTTATTTAATTTTTCTTGTGTTCGAACAAGAGATTTCTTTTCTGGATAAAGGGTGTGTAAAAACTGTCCAAATGTTTTATATTTCCGTGCGTTTTCGCTAAACCTTTAGCCATTATCAAGGATGATTCAATTTTTCAGCTTAATTGAGTGTGTGCATTATGAGTATGTTTTAGCGTGTTAAAGAGATGTTTTTAATTTCCGAATACGGTTAACACATTGTGGCCTTGTTCGTAGTTAATATTGTTAAGAGTTGGCTTTTTCATTTTTATTATTAAAGCTTCCATTATTTTAATCATTTTTACAGGTGGATGAAGTTATTATATTTGTGTTTCCTACTAGTATGTTTCTAATGGAGTCTGGTAGGTTTGTGTGTGTGTTTGAAATCGGTTCTAATGGAGCTGTGATCAGATAGGTGTAACGTAAGGCGTCTTATAGGCATGTAGTTGTGTAACCGATGTAATTATGAGTCCGGTTTGATCAGTAACATACATACACACAAAACATATATATATATATATATATATATATATATATATATATATATATATATATAAGGAAATATATGGATATAGATCAAAACAGTATGAAGAAAATAATAACTCAAATTTTTTAAGATCAGCGTTCCGTTTCACGTGACGCCGACGTGATCATATTGTGAAACGGAAAGCTGATCTTAAAAACTTTCAGTTATTCTTTTTTGATTAGTCTTTCATCTTATGTCTCTCGTCTTTTCATGTTGACTTGAATATCGTCTAATGTTAATTATGTTTTAATAACTATGTCCTGAAGAAGGTCTACGAGACCGAAGAGTCTGACGTCGACATTGAAATAACATTAAAACAGCGTATTTGCATATTCGGATATTTGTCTTTCCATATATTTTTCTTCATATATATATATATATATATGTGTGTGTGTGTGTGTGTGTGTGTGTGTGTGTGTGTGTGTGTGTGTGTGTGTGTGTGTGTGTGTGTGTGAATTCAGGTCAACATCCAGCGGCGACAGTTCAATTGCTAAACGCAGTCACCATGATCTGATGATTGCGTTTAAGCATGAAACACTGTTGCCGCTGGGTGTTGACCTCAATGCATACGATCTATACCTGATACTGAGCAATTTAACACATACATATAGCAAATCTTAAAACTATTTATGTCATATATATATATATATATATATATATATATATATATATATATATATATATATATATATTCCCAAATTCGTAGGTTGTAGGATTATACCAAGGAGATTTGTTTAAATATAAAAATATTAAAAATGTAAATCTATGATGAGAAACCAATGTATAAATTCATATACAGAGATATAAAAATAAATAACTAAATAATTAATACGGGAAAACTTAATTATTAATCATTTAATCGGTTATAAATTTATTTCAACAGATATACAACTATATACCTACCTCATCAGACGACTACATTTAGTTAAATGATATGAATTCAAACAAATGATCTGATAATATACAAGACATTTTTAAAAAATTAATCGTTTCCTTATATATATATATATGTATATATATATATATATATATATATATATATATATATGTGTGTGTGTGTGTGTGTGTGTGTATGTATGTATGTATGTATGTTTTGTGTATTTAGACAGCTATCCTTCTTTCATGTCCATTTCATTGAATACTACAGACGAGATGATTTAATTTAGTATTTTTATACAATTTCTTATGTGATCTAATAATTTGTTGTTTTTTTCCAGATGATAAATTATATAAAAACTGTACGAACGTTTTTTTTTTTTAGCCGAAATCGCTTTTGGCTATACATTTATTTCTTTTCAAGGTTGAAATATATTAACTGTTAACAATCAACAAACTATTTCTTGTTGTATATATATATATATATATATATATATATATATATATATATATATATATATATATATATATATATCTTTATGTGTATGTATCTTATTTTATGTATATATATATATTAAAAAAATATGGATCAATATTGTGAATTTCTTTCTTCGTTCAACGATAATGTTATCAAACTTATCAGATGTTACGAAAAAAATTTACATAAAATAAATAGACAACACTTGTCTATATTATTTAATGAAACGTGTATAAATGAAAATATGCTGCCTAAATACACACACTATATGTATATATATATATGTGTGTATGTATCTTATATTATATATATATATATATATATATATATATATATATATATATATCTTATCATATACATATGTATATCATTATACATATCTTATGAACGTTATTTTTTGTGGATACACGTGTTTGTGTTGATATTTTGGGGAGCTGATTTTTCTTATCTTATATATAGTTTTTCTCATATTTTTCTTACATATACATATTATCTTATGTATATATCTTATATACAGAGTGTCCATAAAGTTCGTGTGCATTTTAAAAAATATAACTTTATTTTTATTTGCGACAGAAATAATTTGTAAAACGGATTAGAAAGAAGGAAATCTATATTTCTTAAGGTTTTATTGAAATTTCCACATGTCCTCCATCAATAGCAATACAAAGGGTAATACGATTTTGCAGATCACGGAAAACATTTGCCAACTGATTTACAGTAATGCCTGAAATCACATTAGTTATTTTAGCTGTACTTAAAACTAGGTACATTAAACTTTAGAATATTTTTTTAAATTATTTCTATCGCAAATACAAATAAAGTTATAATTTTTAAATGCACACGAACTTTATGGACAACCTGTATAGCTTATCTTATATATTTCTTATCCTTATAAACGTTATTTTTTCGTGTTTGAATTGATCTCTTTTTGGAGCTGATTATTCTTTTCTTATATATATATATATATATATATATATATATATATATATATAAGAAGGTTTATAAGCATAATATATATATATATATATATATATATATATATATATATATATATATATATATATATTATATATAAACCTTATTTTTTGTGGATACACGTGTTTGAATTGATATTTTATTGACACCCAAACACACTGGAGTATTCGTATTGGAACAAATGTCAATTGGTACAGTATGCCGTTTCAAAAATTTCTGCCGAAGTAAATTGTGTCATGGTGTTCTTTTTCTCATGGACGTTGCCCAACTGACCCCACTATAGAGTGCAGTCGACAAAATCAGTAGCAAACAACGCACATGTGCGAAATGAAAAATATAAAAAGGCGACAATTTAACCATCGCACCGTATGTATGTATATATATATATGTGTGTGTATGTGCATGTGTATGCATATATGTATTATAATTAAACAAACGTTCGCTGCTTTTTGCAATATGTGGCGTTTGACCACATGATTTCGTTGCTCAAGTCACAGAAATCTCTGGCATACAGTGATTTCCAAGCGTAGCTCAGATGTGGCACAAGGCCGAAAATATGGGGCACCCAGTGAGGATCGAACTCACTACTCAGTCGCAATTGTTCCCCTAATCTCTGATATATATATATATATATATATATATATATATATATATATATATATATATATATTCTGAAAGTGTCATTTCAACATGTTTTTCTGTACGATTCGTGCGTGGGTTATGAATTTAAAATATGTTTGCGTTAAACTGTGAAAATGAAAGAAAATTAGTTGTTATTTTGTTATTTGATGTTCTTATATCTGAAAATGAATAAATGCTGTACTATAAAACGTTATGAGAAAAAAAAAAACAAAGTTCAAACAAATGTTTGATGTAACTTTAATTTATGGATACCCAGCAAAGACAAAGGACTCGAGCCGAATTTAAAAATATATGAAACATTAATTCTGAACAGACAATAGAAGAATTACACAAATTAAGAGCTTTGTGTGACAAATGATGGCCAATGACGTGTAAAAAAAATTATCAATAAAAAAGAAATATACGTTTTACAATAAAAAAAATGAATTCAGCAGAAGGTCGTAAAAAAACTACATAAAGAGAAGACAAGGAGAAAATGCTCCTGTGATTATTTTTCTGTTATATACCGTAGCTATGAATAATCATCATAAATACGTTGGACACTATAGTAAGTGGAGGTAAGATGCTGCCTAAGTAGACCACAATTAGTAGTAGTTTATCTACTTCGTGCCGCTGGCGAGTATTGTATTTTGTTGATGTTATAAAGATTACCATTTCATTTCCAACCTCCGTTTTGGTTATTCCTCATTTAGTAATATTTTGCTAGGTTAAATATCTATCTATCTATCTATCTATCTATCTACTTACCTACCTAACTACCTACCTACCTACCTATCTATCTATCTACTTTCCTAACTACCTACCTACCTATCTATCTATCTATCTATCTATATATCTGTTATATAACGTACCTATGAACACTAATTGATATGTTCCAGTGCTCATAAATACGTTGGACACTATTGTATGCGGTAGGTAATATGTTGTCTAAGTAGTCCACCATTAGCAGTGGTTTATCTACTTCACGCCGCTAGCGAGTATTGTATTTTGTTGATGTTATAAAGCTTAAAATTTCGTTTCCAACCCCCGTTTTGGCTTTTCCACATTCAATAATACTTTGCTAGGTTACAATATCTATCTATCTATCTATCTATCTATCTTCCTACTTACTTACCTATCTATGTTATCTATCTATCTGTCTACTTTCCTAACTACCTACCTATCTATCTATCTATCTATCTATCTATCTATCTATCTATCTATCTATCTATTACATACCGTACCTACGTACACTAATTGGCATGTTCCAGTGCTCTTAAATACGTTGGACACTATTGTGTGCGGTAGGTAATATGTTGTCTAAGTAGTCCACCACTAGCAGTGGTTTATCTTCTTCACGCCGCTGGCGAGTATTGTATTTTGCTGATATTATAAAGATTACCATTTCGTTTCCAACCTCCGTTTTCGCTTTTCCACATTCAATAATACTTTGCTATGTTAAAACACTATCTATCTATCTATCTATCTATCTATCTATCTATCTGTCTGTTATATACCGTACCTATGAACACTAATGGGTATGTTCCAATCCTCAGAAATACGTTGGACACTATTGTAAGTGGGAGAAATATGGTGTCTAAGTAGTCCACCTCTAGCAGTGGTTTACCTACTTCAAGCCGCTGGCGAGTATTGTATTTTGTTGATGTTATAAAGCTTAGAATTTCATTTCCAAGCAACGTTTTGGTTATTTCTCATTCAGTAACCAGGATACAACATTTTCAAAGAATAATTTTGGTACAATTTTCGAAGCAAAGTTCGTGGTAACAGCGAAGACTAAAACAAGTACACCAGCCGATGACTTTTCCTTTTGATGTGGGAACGTCTTTGATTCTAATCTGATAGTTGTCAATTTTTTTCTGTGTTGTTTTCTTTCTGGAACCGCTTTTCCCTCCCACGACTTAAATCACCAAAAGGTATGCTCCAAAGACACTTCACGAAATTTGGATGGAAGCCCCTTTATTGGTTTGGGACGAAAATCAAAGGCAGTTGATTTATCAATAATCAAAATATACCAAAAACATTTTCGAAATTTAAAAATTAATCAAGAGCCCATCCAATGCACGTACAAGCAGCTTAATTTTCTAAAGCGTTGAAGTGAGTATATCACACTCGACTGCAATTCGAACTCAACTCAGCGATTTCTCTTTCCTAGCCGTTGGTCTTACACAACCTGCACCTCGCCAGCAAATGCGACAAGATTCCAAATTTCAGCATTTTGCCGATTGACACAAAATAAAACATGTTGTCCTGGTAGATGCCTGTCAAGCTGTCTAAGATGTTTAAATGTGGATTAACTTCTACAGTCTGATACACAGCTCAAATAATCGCTCCCTCTGACTGGAGACAAATCTCTAACATTCTTAAAGCTGAACAAAATAAGAGTGGATTTGAAACGCTAAAGTGAATATACTATATATAAACAACGTAGATAATTCCTATAAAACATTAACTAAAAGATTATATGAACACACAAGAGATCATTTACAAAACAATACGTTCAATTCGTTAATCGCTCGTCGTAATCGGACTATAATTTTCAATTTAAAAATCAAAGTTCCAATTAAAAGATAATGTAAATAGATGAGAATGTATAGAAAGTGCACTGATTACTAAAACATCCACGGTAAATTTGCGTTTAGTTTTTTACAATATTTGACCTTTCTCTGCAGATCCTCTGTTGTCACAATGTGGAATATTAAAAATAACAGACATAAAAAGAAAATCAAAAGCGTAGAGAAACACAATAGTGTCGTTTAGGTCGTGCGTCTAGACACGTTGGATGTCAAAAATTCTTAAACTCTATCAAATTACAAAAATTTTAAATTCTAAAAACTTAAAAATTTAGCGTGTCTACATCTTGGTTAATTTTCCCATCGGCTCATAATTATACCCACCGTTTAAGTTCATATATACCCCATCCCTCTACGTATATATATATATCTATATATATATATATATATATATATATATATATATATATATATATATTTTTAATCAATCAATATAAAAATGATTTCAATTCAATGAATCCAATTTAAAGCAGGAAATGCGTTACATAAAATTTGTTCACTTTGTCTTTCAGTAGCCTAATGCACACAAACACACATACACACACGCATATATATATATATATATATATATATATATAAAACATATAAGAATTGGTATACGTGTATACGGAATAAAATCCAATAACCAACAATTACTATTCTTAAAAGAGTGTTCAATACAAAGTAGAGCGAATATAATTATTTATTTAAAAATTATAACATAAATATGTTATAAAATCACTACAAAAATAGCCATTTTGTTTCAACACCTCTAGTTTCTTATCAAGTGATGATGTTGATGAGACAGTAGAGTCTTTTTTAAACAAAATGGCAATTTTTGTAGTGATTTTATAACATATTGATGTTATAATTTTTAAATAAATAATTATATATATATATATATATATATATATCCTATTGAGGAGTCAGGTACTACCTAACTATAGGTAGGTAGTACATGCTCCATTAGGTTTTATTTATTTTACTTTTTTTTTCTACGTAGTGTATTGAAACTCTTAAATTTAACTTATTACGCTGGGATTGTTCTTTTTTTTTTTTGTACCATTGACTTAAGGAACTGGATGATTTCTTTCGCTCTGTTCTCAGGTTTTTGCTGCTTTCGTTTTTTTCATTTTCCCTCGATGGCAATCTATTTGAAAATTGTGCTATCCAGGTTTTTTCACCCACCGAGTTTATATATATATATATATATATATATATATATATATATATATATATATATATATATATATTTATTTAAAAAATGATTCCAACGCTACATAAGTGTTCTCATGTTTCAAAACAAGAGCCAAAAACTTCAATATAATTATGTGCATTAAATTGAATTAAAGTACTAAGCTCTCTTCCATCTTCAAGCGAAATGTTTACTGGAATAACTTATTCCTGAAATTTACGCGTTTTATAAGCAATTGAAATTAAGATTACTATGGTAACGGCTAGAGCAATTGTTTAAAGAAAAGGGGCGTAAGGGTTAATAATTTGTATCAAAAGCTCAGTTACATTCACAGACGTCAAGTCAGGGTAACGTTGGGGTGTCTAAATTTAAAGCGTCTATGGAGATTTTCTTATTTTTTTATTTTATTTTTTATTCTTCTGAAAGGGTTTTGTGTATATAAAAAAAATTGTCGTAAGTCGCTAACATTTGTTTTTTTACAACTTCATAAAGGGTTATCTTTTTTTTATAGGGCATTTAAACTATTTATCTAGACTATGGAATTTAAAAATTATTTTATTGTTTGTTTGTTTTTATGCTAATTATTTAATGCGAAAATTTGATGATGTCGGCAAAAAACCGTTAACTCCTGTCTATTGTTTAATAGATTTTTATTATTTAGAAACTTAATAATGTGTAGTTTTTCATGTACGCATAAAGGGCATGGGTCATCCCAAGTTTTACAAGTTCTAGTTTTGTTTATAATTTTCCATTTTACATATATATATATATATATATATATATATATATATATATATATATATATATATATCGGTTAAAAAAGCTCGAATTACTGCTTTTAAACGCACACGTTCGCCGATCTTTCTCGATCTACCATGTCTGCTCAGATTTTGTATCCTAACGGAAACGATGACAACACACAGATTAAATCCGACAAATAATTAATATATCTTCTGATTATTTTTTTTTCATGGATACACTTATTTGAATATTATGGTGGCTCCGTGTAATCGCTCTTCAAGTTCTTCCAAAGTCTTAGTTTGCTAAAGTAAACTTGCTTCTTTAACCAACTCCAAAGAAAAAAGTTACAAGGGGCTAACTCAGGACTCCTGGTTGGTGATTCATACATAGCATAAAATAGTGAGTTACTTTTCAATCACCTTATATATATACACGAAAATGGAAACAGATCTAAGAACACACAGGGGTCATTAAAAGATAAGAATGCCGATAACTACTTCATCATTTCTCGGACCAATCCTAATTTTTTTATAAACCTTCACGCAGAACTTTTCACTGCTAGTACAAGAAAGACATTTGGGTCACTAACACACAAAAAAAGAGAATGTCTCATATCGAGAATATTTAACATCGAAGAACATAAAGGAGAAACAATTAATTATTTTTAATAATAAGTGGAAATCTCCACCATTTGCCTGATGACGGTCACGAGACCGGAAACGTGTGTAGCAAAATTATGGAAAATAAATCTTTATATTTTTTTAAAAAAACATGCACATACAACCAAACGCGTTTGCGGTTTCTCCCTTCTTTTTAATATATATATGTTTCCTATATATAGGAAAAAGATACAATAAAATAAATCATGAGAGAAGGTTTCACTCAATTTCTTAGACGCTGTTATTTCGCATTATTTTAAAGGGTATATTTTGGGGTTAAAGTTTGATATAAATCTAAATGTCTAAACGAACTACGAAGAATTTAATTTGATGTTTGTTGGAGTTTTGGGTATCTTCTATGAAATAGTCGATTGGAAAAAAATTCCTAGAAAATACATTGAAAGAATAAATTTGCATCTATCTATCTATCTATCTATCTATATATATATATATATATATATATATATATATATAAATATTATTTAAATTATTTTTTGATAGTTATTTTATATATATATATATATATATATATATATATATATATATATATATATATATATATATATATATATATTCTAATAATAATAATAACATCGCCTATTCATGACCTCATTATCTCATGTCTAGCATAACCTTGTTTTACTTTTCCATTAACCTGATGAATATTCATGAGGATAAAAACGACTGACAAGATGCCACAGTTAAGATTTTCTTGTGTTCTTATAATTTTCTTCTTTTCTAGATATAAATTATGAAGAAATTGTCCGAACATTCTGTATGTCCGAGCGCTTTCCGTTCTTTTTTCAGCCATTATCAAGCATGATTTTATTTTTCCTTTTAACTAAATATATGGATTTTTTCATGTATGTATATAGAGTTATATAAATGTTTTTATTTTACAAACACTGTCACCCTATTGTGGACGTGTTCATAGCTATTGGCATTGACTGTTGGCTTTTCCTTTTTTTTTTTAAGAATGCTTCCATTATTTGTAGCCTTTTTTCCCGCCTTTTAGCGCATAGAGCAGGTTATTAGATTTGTATAATAGCTTCATTCTTTAAGCTTGCCTCCTTGCTTACTCGCTTCATCTATAGAAATCACAGTATCATTCACTGGAACCACATTTATGTTACCTCGAGCTTACTCTCGACATTGTGAAGCATTCATTGCCATAGAAAATTAATATCACATTGCAATACACCATTCTTCTTTCTTTATAAGGAAGAACTGAAGAAATTTATGATCTTCTCAGGGATGGTAAGAAGTTACTACTTTGGTTTTGAAGGTTTTAAATGATACAAACCGGTCTTCTCCAAATTGAGCTGTGATAGCCAGGTCAGTGGAAAGATTAGCTGTCAGGATCTGGTCAT